CTTCTGCTTTCCCAGAGGGTCCTGCTTACCGGGGATGCGCCGGCCTCACGGCCTCGGAGCCGGGAGCCCTCCCGGGTGCTGTGGCTCACATGGTCCCCCGTGCGTGGCCGGAAGCAGTGGGTCTGGGAGGCCGACCGAGGGGAAGGCCGGAAGCTGCCGGAAGCTGCAGTTTGAGGGCTGGGAGCAGGCGGCTGTGCGTCGGACCTGAGCGGGCAGCGCCGGCGGAGCGGACGTGGGGGCAGGGGGGAGACGGGAGAGCACGCCAGTTCGGCCCTCCTGTGGGGCAGTCCCCGAGCATCCCCGTACCCGCGGACCTAGCGCACGAAACCGCCCTTACTTCCCCTGCATTTCAGAAGTCACGCGGGCAGTGTGGGTCAGGGGTGTCCTGACCCCCATTTTCATAGGCCAGGGGTGCAAATGGCGGGTGAGGGAGAGACACCAGGATGAAGCCCTTGATGGGTTGTGCAGAGACTCAGCTCTTGGTGGGGACCAGTCTCCCGGCTGCCCGTTTATGTAGGTGGCGGGTGAAACTTCTTCAGTCACGATTTGATGAGATTTGTGCTTTTAAAAAAATTTATTGAAGTTCTGGTTGGTTAACACACAGTGTTGTGTCGGTCTCAGGAGTAGACTCCGGTGATGCGTCACTCAGGGGCCACACCCGGCGCTCATCCCAGCCCGCGCCCTCCTCAGTGCCCGGCACCCATCCGGCCCCTCCCCCACGCGCCTCCCCGCCAGCCACCCTCAGTTCGTTCTGTGTGGTTAAGAGTCTGTTGTGGTGTGCCCCCGTCTGTTTTTGTGGACACAACCGGTTTCTTTTCATTTCTTTTTTCATTGGTTTACACGTTAAATCATAGGATTACGATCACAAATCATAACGTCATCAGAGTTTGGACCCAGTGGACTGGCTGGGGAGGCTGGGGTCTGGGCAGCATGGCCCCATGTGCTGTGTTAGCGTGCAGAGAGCCTCGAAGCACCTCTCCCGGCTTCTTTTGGTTTCTCCTGACAAAATCGAATTTTGTTTTGGATCCAGATGTACTTACCGACTTTCCTTTCTATTTCGCTTCAGCAAGCCAAGGAGCTGGGAAGGCAAGACCAGCAGCGGCTACATCGAAACAGAAAGCTGGTGCTCATGGTCGACCTGGACCAGACGCTGATCCACACGACAGAACAGCATTGCCAGCAGATGTCAAACAAAGTGAGCGGCCCCAGCAGCTCCTCTCGGCGATGCTTCTTGGGCCAAGGAGGCTGGCTGGGGCGGGAGCCCAGGGCCCATGCTCCCAGGGCCATTTCCCCTAGCTGGTTCCCACCGGGAGGTGCCGAGGCACGCTCCCACCCTCCGGTGCCTGGTCCACACGTGGTCCCGTGAATCAGGAAGGTTGAGGGTTCGGGGCCTGGAGGACCCAAGGCCCAGTGGTAGACAGTGGGGTGGACGGCAAGGGAGGAGTGGTCCGGGGGGGACACAAGCCGGCAACACCTCTGGAAATACCTGGAACACTGGGGGCGGGGGTGCAGGTGGGTACCTGGGCCTGCACTCACGACAGCAGATAGAGGCTGGGTCCGCTTTGCATAAATCCTTCCGGGAAATTAAATTTCCAGAGAAAGTAAAGAGTCAGGGGCGGAACCCTGTTTGAGTATACGTCGAGCCTCTTCCCACCCTTCGCTCCTTTCCTCTGTATGGAGCCTGGGGACTTAAATTTCTGGCCCCTCCCCAAGGCATTGAGTCGTGCCCGTTACGGATGGCTGTCTGAAGGCTGGCACCATCTTCTGCCTCCTTGACTAAGGAGGCCTCACCGGCGTGGACGTGGTCAGTTATTTAAAGTCTTTGTTGGTGGGGTTGATGTGCAGACTGTTGTCGGTGCCTGCAGGTGTCGGTTCCTAGCTGTGGCTGCGCGTGGTGGGAGAGCCTCTGACAGGCCAGCAGCCGGGGATGTGAGACCCCAAGGGCAGCAGGACAGGTCTGCTCGTGGTCCCGGGATGGGCGTGTGTCTTGGGGGGGTTCGCTGCAAACTTTTCTCGGAACACACCAGGCCGTTTTAGTTTGGCCTCGTGAATAAATCCAGTGACACAGGCGCAAACGTGGACCATCTCCGCTAGTCCCGTAGGCCGCAGAGTCACTTCTGCCTCCGGACGTTGCTGACGGTGAGGACTGATCTCCTACTCGTGAGCGGAGAACTTGTCCTCCAGCAACATCCTTGTCACTTCAGTTCTGTCTCCCATAAAACAGCGTGTATTTTTTTTAAGTTTATTTTGGGGGGGGGGGAATCCCAAGCAGGCCGCACTGTCAGCACAGAGCCCAACATGGGGTTCAAAGTCACGAACCATGAGCACATAACCTGAGCCGAAATCAAGAGTCAGACGCTGAAGTGACTGAGCCACCTAGGAGCCCCAACAGCACGTGTTTTAGTTGTATTAGCACTTTTTTGCTATCGTAACATCTCGTGTCACCATATATTTTTGTGTGCAGCATAAGGTGTTAGTAAATACTCTGCGACTGTTTCATTCATAACAACTCTGCTTAATTATCTTACAGCTGGAGGACTTCAGGGGCGCCTGGGTGGCTTGGTCGGTTGAGCGTCCGACTTTGGCTCAGGTCATGATCTCATGGTTTGTGAGTTCAAGCCCCACATTGGACTGCTTGCAGTCAGTGCAGAACCTGCTTCAGATCTGTCTCTCCCTCTCTCTCTCCCCCTCCCCTTGTCTCTCTCTTTGTCTTTCTCTGTCTCTCTCTCAAGAAATAAACATTAAAAAAAAGAGTTGGAGAACTTTATGTAAAGCAGTAGTTTCTGCACGTATGTGCTTGTGTGTACGTGGCCATAGCCGGCTCTGGGCTTCATTGTGCCTTTGAAGTCGGCACGTTTAATTCATTTCACAGCAGTTTAAACTCGTCGTAACATGCCTGTTCCTCAGCTTGTGTGATCTACAAGGTGAAGGTCTCCTCTCATCCACGTGGACGGGCCTCAGCTCTGGCTGGCCTCCATGGCTCCACCCCCACCCATGCCCACAGGTTACCTGCGGGCCGGCTCTGCCCAACACTCAGGTGTGCACCCGCACACCTGTTGTGACGTCTAGAAAGATGTGTTTAACTCTTCACTTTGGCAACCTGAACTTGTGTTTTTAAGGACGTTTATATGCACCTGTGGAGGACACGGAACGTGATTTCTAGAATTCCATACTCCAAAATGTTTTAACAGAACAGCTGCTTCATGAAGGGTTTGACCACTTTAGAGCTAGTAAAAAGTAAGCCCAGGGTCGCTTACTTTTAGTTTTCAGTGTTTCAGAGTTCTCTTACTGAGAAGATTAATGATAAATAGGGATTAAAAGGATCAACGTTTAGTTTCCTAAGGAAAATAAGTTTCTTTGTATATTAATGACATGTAACTTGTTGGCGTTACTAATCTTACCTGTCTACTAAAAGTGGTTTGAAATACTGTTTCAGGTTTGGTGTTGTATTTGTAAGTTAGTAAACCCGTATCTTAAAGCAGTCACTGAGCCAGACTAAGTTCCGTGGGACTGTTTGGTTTACTCCCATCAGTACTTGGGGGGGGGGGGGGGGATCATGCGTGGATCACCGGAGACCTGTTCTAAGTGATCCGCTGTGGCCGAGCTATTTGGCAAGTGTTAGGGTTTGAGGACACAGATCCTTGCTTTGCTGTTAACAGACAAAGACCACGGTCCAAACGGTGCGAGGATCTGCTGACACCGCTGAAGCCCGTGGTTGCCGAACGTGGTGACCGTGGCGGTTCATCACAGGCAGCGACGTGGGTGGGTTCGCTGCCGGGACCGTCACTGACAGTGTCTTGGGTGGTTACCGCGGCGGGTGGGGGGCGCAGTCTGGAGGTGCCGTCCAGGCGCCTCATGCCTTCTCACCGGGCATGCCTGTTCTTCCAGGGTATCTTTCACTTCCAGCTGGGCCGCGGCGAGCCGATGCTGCACACGCGTGTGCGTCCGCACTGCAGGGAGTTCCTGGAGAAGATCGCCAGGCTGTACGAGCTACATGTCTTCACGTTTGGGAGCCGGCTGTACGCTCACACCATCGCAGGTGGGCGGCTCAGTCCTCGGTCACCCGTGCCGACTCACGCGTCGCATGGGCGTTGTCCCCAGTGGGTTAGGTCTCTCTTCATTTTCAGTGACATCCTTAAAGACAAGGGGACACACGAAGCTCTCCCAGGCTCCTTTCCAGTCCCCGAGCTAGCTCTTGCCTCCCCAAATGGGCAGGCCACCCCCGCTCTGGTCAGGCGCACGCCGCGGGCTGGTGTGAAGGTTGCTCAGCACTGCAGCTGTGTGGAAACGTAGAAACTTGCTGCGTAAGCCTTCTCAGGGTGTTTTTGTTTTGGTTTGGAAATACCTCTGGAGCCGTGTTGCTTACTGACGCTCTAAGTGCAGGTAAAACGATCGTCTCTTACTTGTAAATGAATGTCGTGGTGACTTAGTGTTAACCTGTTGTCTTGGTGCAGCTTAGTGGTTGTGTGCTGGCCGTGCGTGTGCCTCGTGTGTGCGTAGGTGTCCCTAGTGGTGCCCACCAGTGGCCCGTCTGGCTGGGGGCGGAGCCCCGAGCCCGGCCTTCACCCCGCGCAGGGGCAGCTGGGGCCCGGTCCGCCCTGACCGACTGTGGATGTTGGCACCTGCATTGTAGGTGCTCACAGCTCCTTCGTGGCCAAATAAAGTACTTCCGAATGGAAATATTTTTACGGGTTGGTTTTGGTCTTTGTTGACGGAGAAATGACTTCCAAATCCTCCTCTACACCTAGCGCCCCGTAAGAGGTTGTTACCACGAGCACATCGGCTGTGTGTGGAAGTTCCTTCCTCGTGCAAGAAGGAACTTTCCTGAGATGCGAACGTGGTGGGACCACTCCGTGGAACTCTCGTACCAGTCGTACCAGTGAGCACCAGCACCCTGGGTGGAGGAGCGGTTAGGTCCTCGGGTGCCCCCCTCAGGCTGCCTCCTGGCACAGGACGACTTGCCCTTCCCCTGCGGAGCCTTGGCATCTCTCTGGACCTCCATCAGGAGGACCTGCATGGGGTAGAGAAGATAACACCAGTGTAAATAGAAGGGCTTGGGGGAGGCGTCCCTGGCAGTCCAGAGGATGTTCCCGGGGGCCTCAGCCCTCCAGAGCGAGGCCCGCCTCAGGCCGTCGGCGCCCTCTGCGCCTCACGCGCTTTGTGCCTGAGAGTCCACGTCCAGAGACGTGGCAGGAAGTTCCCCTTCCTGTGGGCCAGCGTCCCCGCACGGGCGGGTGCAGAGCCCCTCGGCCGAGCAGCACTGAGTCCGGGGGACCCACAGTCACCGCGTGGCCGCCTCCAGCACGGGCGACGGCACCGCGCACGCAAGAGGCCCTGGGAGGAAGCCCGTGGCCCGAGGGACGAGTGCCCCACGTGGCTTTGAGGTGGTCGAGCCTTCAGAGGGCAGGACGCTGGCACAGGCAGGCCCTGGGGCCGGGTGGGTGCATTCTGGCACCAGGTGGGTAGACTTGCTCGTTGGCAGGAGACTGCTGGGGCCCTGCCGTGGTTTTTCACCAGTTTCCAGCCATGGTTTCTACACCTTCCTCTTCCTGTCACCTTTCACGTTCTGAAAGTTCTCGCTTTCACAGAGTATATGTTTTTAGTGTAGTTAGGACACATCTCTTTTTATTCGGATAAAACCGTTAAGCGTTTGAGGTGCTTTTCACTTACTGTAGAGATTCCAGTAATTCTATGAGAAGCTTCAGGTTTAGCCACTGAGTGACATCAGTGTTCGTATGGGACTTACGTTTTTCTTACTTAGTAAGGATGTACATTTGGAACGTTTCTTCTCTGAGTCAGTGTTGTTTGTTCATAAGCACACAGATTTAAACCCTTTAAGTGCTGCGTGGAAGGCCCTGTGCACGGCGGCGTGGGGCACGCGGTGCAGACACCAGGGCCCTGGGGCGCACTGGCTTTGATGGGGGGTGTCTGGTGGTCCTGGGGTCCCGGCCGACAGTGAGTTGTGGAGGTGGGCTGCTGTGCCCGCCTTCACAACGATGAGGGGATACACCCTGAAAGGGTCTCCAGAGGACGCGGCCGTATCGCCGGATGGGCACGAAGCTGCCCGGCGCCTGGCTCACTGCTTCGCAAACGGCCGAAGGTGCGGGGAAGCTGCACGTGGCGGCACAGCCGGACTCTTCAGTCCCGGCGCCCCACACGCCACAGGCTGTGTTCACATGTTTGTCGCCCCCACGCACCGCGAGCATCCCCGGGGCGTGCTGCTGAGCCGTGTTCATCTTCTGTTCTCAGCCAAGTCCCAGGTAGTGTTAGATTCAGTAAATGTTCCGCAAACTCATGCCTTTAAACACAGTAGAAGGAACCGCGAGTGAATCACAGTCCTACCAGGAAAGACGAGGGCGGTGGGTGTCCGTGTGTGACGCTTTGTGTCCCTGCTGTCCTCACAGCACAGAAGGGGCTTCACCACCTGCAGAGCAGGACATTCGCGGCTCACGTGTCTGACCTTCATTTTGTTTTCTTTCCAAAGGCTTTTTAGACCCTGAGAAGAAGCTTTTTTCTCATCGAATATTATCGAGGGATGAATGTATTGACCCATTTTCTAAAACAGGAAACCTTAGGTACGTACCTGGTTGTGTTCATCTCCGGGGCTCGCTGGGAAGTTTGTGGCGGAGAGAGCACCAGACCCATGATTCTGGGTTTATTCCCCTCATTCCTTCGTCCCCCGCCCCCCGCCATGGCACCCAGAAAGCCTGCTGTCTTACCACCACAACCCTGCCTCCCCCACTCCCCGAGCATCCAGGCAGTGGTGGGCTCCTGGGGTGGGGCTTGGCTGGGGCCCCAGAAGTCGGGGGTCTGGGGAGGGCAGCTGAGAACAGGGCTGGGACGTGAGGGACGAGGGAGGTGACAAGCCAGGGGATCGGAGCCCTCCCAGGCACCACAGCTTGAGAAGAGGAGGGGCTGGTATTTCCTTAGGGGCTTGCACGCTGCGAGTCCTGCTGGTTCGTCAGATCTGGAGTCACGTTCCCACCTCTTTCCCGGCACCGCCATGGGCCCCTGCCTGTCCCCCCTCTGCTCTTAGAGCGGGCGCTCCCACCCCATCCAAAGGCTCCTGGACATTTCAGGACTTGGCCCATTTCTCCCCGGAAAGATCGCCCCTGCCCCCCCATCCTATACGGCATCAGTTGTAGTTTGTTTCCTTGTATGTTGCTTCCTAAGGATACCTGGGCAGTGACAGCGAGGCCTGTGGCCTTCTGCCACCGCTGGGCTTCCTCAGGGAGTGTTCCATGTTTCAGATTCAGGCCCCCCCGCCCCGCCTGCCGCCCCAGACCTATTGGAGACCGAAGGAGCCAAGGGGAGAATGAGCACTCCTTTCAGAAACAGATACTGCATTTGCTAGTTAGCGTCACACTGATGAAAACAAAGGACGACGGGCGGTGCTGTCCGTGACTGACTCGGGGGTGGGGGGAGGCTGCCTACAGCAGCAGCACTGGGGAAAGGTGGCCCGATCCCTCCCCGGCAGGTGACCTGCACGTGGCTCACGGAGGTGCAGGCAGCAGGGCTCTCTTCCCAGTTTTTATCTCCCTCATCTAGAGTTACAGGTGCCAGAAAGCATCAACTCTGTTGTTATTTTAGCTGCCATATGTTTTGTCTACGGGAAACAGACTCCGAGTGATAATAATTTTGGACACGTGAACGTGCGTACCTGGGTGCCTGTAGCCGTCAGCCACTAGAGAACGGAATGGTGGGAGGCAGTCCCCCGAGTTTATTTCCAGATCTGAGAACAAATTCGCTTTGAATTTTGAGTCCTCCGAGCTCGTCCGAAGCTCAGAATTGTGGACAGAAATAGAATTTAACAAGGCTGTGTGAGGGTACCAGGACCCTTGGTAACGTTTCTGCTGACCCCGCGCATTCTGATAGTATTTTTGGACTCAAAAAGAGACCACGCAGGCGCGCTGCAGGAAACCGTTGTCTCAGATAGCTGAGCTGTGAGGTCATGTCCTCCCGCCTTGACCTGGAAGCCTTTCCCTGTGGAGGGGCAGCAGCACGCTGGCCACTGGCTCGTTAACTTGCTTTTGTAAATGTGTTGGGACGTGGCCGTTTGTGCAGTGTCTGCCGGCTGCCCAGGATGGGGGCACGGCCCCCAGACGCTAACCTCTCTGCGCCGTGGCTCCGCCTTGAGGAACGTCACAGACGGTGGAGAAGGTGTAGCTGCTGTCATCTGACTTCACCTGGGAACTTTGAGAGTTTAAATAGGAGCTAAACCAAAGTCCTGCAGTGCGATTTCCGGCTGTCTCTGATGAATCTGTGATCTACTGACTACTAGAAAAGATTATCGTGACTGATTATTTTTTGTAAAATGTGCTAGTTCTGGTGCATTTTTACTTCCAGAAATCTCTTTCCCTGTGGAGACTCGATGGTGTGCATTATTGATGACCGGGAAGATGTCTGGAAGTTTGCCCCCAACCTGATAACCGTGAAGAAATACGTCTACTTCCAGGGCACAGGGGACATCAATGCTCCCTCTGGGTCACGGGAGTCCCAGGCGAGGAGGAGAGGTGGGTGACCTGGTCGGGAGAGGAGTAGCTAGCCCAGACCTCCCTGCGTGTGTCCCGTGTCCCATCTCTGCCGTGGCTGCTGTCAGTCCGAGATTCACTCTGTCGTCATCTGTATTTCAGTGGTTGAGACCGACACCCAAACCAATGTTTGGTTTCCACTTGGTTTTTTTTTTTTTTTTAATAGCACTAATCTAAGTATTTTCGTAATTGAATAAAGATTAAGGAATTTGCTTAGTTTAGTACATCTGAGACTTGTTATCTTGGTTCTCTTTCTTTTTTTTAAATATTTTCATTTATTTACTTTTGAGAGAGAGGAGAGAGATTGTGAGCAGGGGAGGGGCAAAGAGAGAGAGAGAGATACAGAGAATCCCAAGCAGGCTCCATGCTGTTGGCACAAAGCCCGAAATGGTGCTCGAACCCACAAACTGCGAGATCGTGACCGGAGCCAAAATCAGGAGTTGGATGCGTAACCGACTGACCCTCCGGATGCCCCATCCTTGTTTCTGAGAAGACAAGCAGGACGCTGGGAACTTGGCCATCGCGGTCCTTGGAAAGCATGAGCTGTGGGTTGTAGCACCTCCAGCTCCTTGGTGGGTGGCGCTGTGCCCTGGCCCAGAGCCTTCAGGGTGCCACACGGCTTCGCTTGTCTGGTGAGCTTGAAGCCAGAGTCCGTCTGGAGAAGATCCAGAGTTTTGGTTGGAAGTGTTGATCTTTAGCTCGTGAGATGTTCTGAGGGGGGCAGTGATTGCTGGAGGTGCAGGCCAGGAGAAGGTGGGGCCTGAGGGCGTTCCCGCGGGGCACAGATGGGATGGCACGGCCAGAGCAGGGCTGGGGGTGCCGCCCGCGGGCCGTCCACCCACGGCGTGGAAACCAGCAGTGTTCTGTACGGTTTTAAACCACTGTAGAAAAACAAAACCAAGTGGCCATCTGTGGCCACAAACCTGGAATATTGGCTGTCTGGTCCTTCCAGGCCACAGGCTGCTGAGCCCAGGTTGGAAGCGTGGTGAGAGCAGACGCGGGCGCACTGCCATCGCTCTGACAAGCGAACGTTAAACACCGGTCCCCTTCCCTTTTGTGTGCACCTGTAGTGACTCAGTCTTCTAAAGCTGCCGACGTCGCGGAACACGCTCCGTCCGTCAGGGAGACCGAGGAGGGACGGCAAGTCCCTGGGGTCGAGCAAAGTAACGGCCTTGGGAAGCCCACGAGGGAGCTCAACGGGGGTGTCTCCCCACGGGGGGGCTGGCCCCTGCCTGGGCAGGAGGAGGACAGAGGCGCCCGGCCCGCCACCCATGGCCCCTTGGCTGATGGCAGGGGACCCCCAGCATGTGCCCAGCCGCACGGTCGGACATCGCCGGAAAAGCGGCCCGCTCAGGGCACGGCAGGCGGTGATCTGGACTTTGACCTTTCCAGTGACAGCGAGTCGGACGCCCAGTCGTCCTCTGAAGGCGAAAGTGGGGAGAGGAAGGGCCTGGAAAGGCCTCAGGGCTCACGAGATGCAGGGAAAGTGGTGCAGCGGGGAGGCCCTCCCGGTCCGGGAGGGGAGAGGCCTGCGGGAGCCAGTCCGTGTGGAGAGTCTGCCCCGGGCGAGCATCTGGATGTGCAGGACGAGGACGAGCGGGACGGCCTCTGCGGGCTGGGAGGGGGCTCTGCGGACAGGAAGGAGGCCGAGACCGAGTCTCAGAACAGCGAGCAGTCAGGCATCACGGCGGGTGAGTCCCTGGACCAGAGTGTGGAGGAGGAGGAGGAGGAGGAGGAGGACACGGATGAGGACGACCACCTGGTCTACCTGGAGGAGATCCTCGCTCGGGTGCACTCTGATTACTACGCCAAGTACGACCGCTACCTCCGCGGGGACAGCCAGGAACCCCCCGACATACGCAAGATCGTCCCTGAGCTCAAGAGCAGGGTGCTGGCAGACGTGGCCATAATATTTAGCGGGCTGCACCCCACAAACTTCCCCATCGAGAAGACGCGGGAGCATTACCACGCCACAGCCCTTGGAGCCAAGATCCTCACTCAGCTGGTGCTTGACCCCGACGACCCCGACAGGGCCACCCACCTGATCGCTGCGAGGGCAGGTAAGCGCCCGTGCCCCGGTCCTGCCCGTGGTGCCCCCGGTGCCGAGCACGTCCGCGTCGGTCTCGGGTGACCGCTCTCCGAACGAGCATATCTGCTCGTTTCGTGCGGAGTTTTCAGAAGTTTGTTTCTGTGCCCGTGTGGCATTGTGTGGGTGTGTGCTGTGCACGTGTGCCTCCCGGTCACCGCCACACGCTCCCTGTAGTCGGGCTCCTTCTGGAGTGGGCGGCGCCCGCGGGTCAGGTGAACATGAGGGGAGCCCAGTTACCGGTCGTCTGGGTGCTCGGTTCAGCGGGTGAGAGGGCGGCTGAGCCTGGGTTTGAAAACCGGACACGGGTTCTGGCGGGGACCGAGTAAGTCAAAAGGGATCGAAACCCGAAAAGTGAAGATTAAAGTCGTTCTAGGAAAGTCCCTCTCAGATGCTCAGGCTGCAGGAATTTCAGCCAACAAAACGGGCCTCCCCGCCCGCTCTCTCCCCCCCAGTAATGGGCGGAGTCAGGAAAAACCACCTGGTTGCTAAAAGAAAAAAACAAAACAATTACCGTTTCTGCATGGTCCTCACAGACTGCAGCGTGGTGTTTTCTGAGCAGGGATGCCCCCGATGCTCCAGGCCGGGGCCTCCAGGTGGCAGCCTACCCACGGGGCAGGCTTCCCCATCAGGCCAGCTCTGTCCCTGCGTGCATCACATCCTGTTTGACGGTCGCATAAAGGGGCAGATGGAAGGAAGCTCCATGTTGGTGTGAAATGTTGGGAGGTCCTAACTGGGAGGGGGGCCGGCTCATGGCAGCCCCCGCACCCCGTGTGTGCAGTGAGCCCAGAACCCCCGCCTGGGCGCAGCAGGTGTCCCGGCTGTTAGCCATTCCAGGGACACAGCTGCATGCACGTCGGGGGACACTGCATGCCTCCCTCCCAGCCTGCACTGGGCCTGTCCATGCTTCAGTCCGGCTGTGCCTGCCCTACCTGGGCTACAGTGGGTGCAGGGGTGCTGAGTGGGGCCCTGAGCATCCAGCAGAGAAGCGGAGACGAGACGCAGCTGGAAGGGCATCTGGGCAGCGTTCCTGCAGCAGCAAGCTGGGGGCATTTGCACACATCAAGTGCACGGTCTCAGAGAAGGAGTCCTTGGGCAGCTGGCTGCAGGTCACGGGGGCAGTGGGAAACTCCCCACGGAAACAGATGGGCACCTCCTGGCAGGGGTGAGGGGGTCTAGCGAGACCCCACGGCGGGCCCCTGCTTCGTGGGGCGGGCCAGGCGCCGGCAGCACGGACAATGAGATCCCGGATTTGAGACACGTTGATTGTGGCAGGCAGAGTGATTCAGGGCTGCCCCTTGCCCGCGGCCAGGCTGGAGTGTCAGGCTGTCCCCCCGCTGCAGGCACAGAGAAGGTGCGCCAGGCCCAGGAATGCGGGCAGCTGCACGTGGTCAACCCCGACTGGCTGTGGAGCTGCCTGGAGCGCTGGGACAGAGTGGAGGAGCAGCTGTTCCCGCTCAGGGCCGACTACGGCCGGGCCCAGAGGTGAGTGCCGCGCCCGCTACCCACCTCCCTCTCCCCTGGGGTCCCCACGACCCAGGCTGGGCCCTTGCTGCCGGGCCGGCGTTCCCAGCCCTGCCGAGCACGCGCTGTGCAGAGTCGCTGCCCGCGCTTTGTCCAGACGGTGCCACGCGGCCTTAGGTCTTAGCAGGGAAGCTCGGTTTGCCTGCATTTCCTTCCTGGCCTTGGGGCGGTGTCGTGAGCCACGTGGAGGCTTCACGAGTGCCAGCAACGTGCCAGCGGCAGAGGGATGGTGAGGAGGGGAGAGGGGAGCCTGCCGGGCCTGGTGGTGCTGCAGGAGAGGCCCCGTCTATGCATTTGCAGGGGGAAGGCCTGTTCTGTCGAGAATAGCCTGAGAAAACACCTCCTGTTCTGTGTCTGAGCTTGTTTTGGGGTAAAGTTCGGAAGCGGGCGTCAGGGGGGTGGAGACCACAGGCCCCGGCTGAGGTTCCAGGCAGGTGCTGGGCATAGGCTTTCGCTTGCCGCCCCGCTAAGCGGCGGTTGCTGGGTGTTTGGGTCTGTTCCAGTGCTTTCTCGGCCCTTGTTCTGGTCCTGCAGGGAGGACGGCCCCGCAGCCTTTCCCGACAGGCAGGGTGCACTTCCGACCGCCTTGTTCCACCCGACGCCCGTCCACCCCAGGGCCCAGTCTGGGCCGGAAGTTCGCATCTACGATGCCAACACGGGCAAGCTCATCCGGAAAGGTGCTGTGGGCCCCGGGCCCCCCAGCTCCCTGGCGGTCCACACGGAACACTCCTCCTTCAGGTACATGAGCTTGGGGCGGCCGTGCAGCAGCAGGCGGCCCTCTGAGCCCCTGAGACTGCGCACACGTTGAGAGTGGACCAAAAGTGGTGCTGGCGGGACATGAAGTTGGGGTTTGCTCTGTCCTGCGTTGGGGCTGGGCTCACCCGCTGTGGCATCGGCCTCTTGCACAGTCTGTCCCGTCTTGGGCCCCGACCCTGGAACAGGTCGGGTCAGGGTCTAGCCGGTGAGATGTTCTGCGCACCCCAGGCACGCTCTCACATTTGCCCGGCGCTGTCTCTGACAGGCCGTTCCGTCTGCAGATTGGACCCGTGCCCAGATGTCGGCCCACCTCCCCAGCCCGACCCCATGGTGGTGGCGGAGGAGCCAGCTCTGGGCACCCCCTGGTGTCTGGTCCTGCTTCCTGCCGAGATCTGAGTGAGGGAGGTGGTGGCTGCTTGTAAACGGGAACGGAGGGGAGACTCTTCACTGGGTCAGTCCTGCGCTCCCCTGTCTTAAGTCTGAGGATTCAGGACACGCTCTTTGCCCGCTGGCACATTCTGTGTGTCGCGAGAGTTCGTTTCTACTGCTGAGATGGTGAGCTCACCCCACTTCTGCGGTCCCTCCATTTGAAAGGAGCCTGACAGGTGTGCAGGACGGTGGGGTTCAGGCCGCTGTCGAGGCTCTGGGGAGGCTGGTGTCGGGCCAGGCCATGGGGGCCGTCTGGGCAGGGCAGTGTCGGGCCCGGCCACGCGGGCACAGGTCTGCAGAGGTGAGGTCAAGGGAGCCACTCCCGTGAGGTCCGAGGTGGACGCCGGGGCCCAGGAGGCCTGAAGACAGGGACGGGATTAGCGGAGATCTTAGAGGTGCTTCTGATAAAGTTCTGGTCAGAGGCTGTTAGACACACTGATGGACCTTGGTGCCAGCTCGGCCGGAAGCCAGCATGGCAGCACGAGAAACGTGTGGCCCCGGAGCTGTCGGGGGCAGCCAGGGAGGCCTGAGGGGAGCCTCAGCCCAATGCAGAACCAGAGATGCGGTCCAGGTGGAGGCAGGTGTTGTGAGTGGACGCTCCAGGAGGGGAGACCGGGGCAGGAATGGGGGGGGGGGGTCAGGAGAACAGGACTCGGTGCAGTCAGCTGGCAGACCACTTACAGGTGGCCACCTCCGTGCTGACCGGCAGGTCACGGGACCAAGTGCACTCGTTCTGCTCAAGGAGCATAGACGGTTCTGCGCCCCCTTAGCCAGCGTCTCCCCTGGGGCGTGTGCCCCGGATCGTGCGGTGGCCCGTGGCCTGCCTCTTACGGGTCTGATCCTCCTGCTGACGGCGAACAGTCCTGGAAGCTGTGGTTGGGAGGCCCCGACACGGTGGCCCAGCTTGTGTGGAGCAAAGCCAAACGCAGGGGCTGCGGGGGCAGAGGTTGGGGTTTGAAGCTGTCGGCACAGCTGGGGCTTGGGACAGGGCCTTTTCAGCAACGCCGCTGAGTGTTGGTGCTGAGACACGCCCGGTGAACGTCAGTGCTAGTACCGCACGTGCTGGTGCAGGACACTGGGGTGCGGTGGGAAGGCACGTGGCGGGTGGGAAGGTGGGGCGTGAGCCCCGTGCCTGAGTCCATGGGGCTGTGGGATGCCGTAGTGCCAGCCTTCCCCGTGTCACGCTTCTTGGGGAGAAGGCGTTTACGCAGGCGGGGTGAGGGGAACGTCACTGGGGCGTGCCCGAGTTTCTTACCCTTTCTCGCAGGCAGTGCTGTGACCCTCTGTACTGATGTCTCCACTGCCAGGCTCAGCCAAGATGGGCTGCAAGGGGTGGTGATTCCCCTGCACCCTGGGCGGCTGGTGGTCCTGAGTCGGGTTTGAGGGGTTTGTGGACCATAGGACTGGGGTGGGGGTGTGTCCTGTCTTCAAAACTGTGCTGCAGCGGCCTCAGCCTTCGGTGTCCACGCACTTCCTCGTGGGCTGTACAGTTGACAGCCCCCCGAGACCGCCCCGCGAAGCCCCCCACCGGGCCCTCTCGGAGGACTAGCGCCTGACTTCGAGCGGAGCGGTAGGGCCCGTGCCGCTCACGGGGTACGAGCTGTGGGCCTCCGTCAAGCACCTAGAGCCCCCTCCTTGGAGAGGCGTGATGCCGCCCTTGGGATGGTCGTGTGGTTCAGGTTCCTTTCGTGGGTGACATTCTGCAGGGAGTTGTGGCGCGCGTCACGGGGCGGCGTGTGCGTTGAGAGCGCGCACGGCACCTGACTCACAGCTTCCGGTCCTCTCGTGGTGGAAGGAGGCCTGAAATCCACGCCGTACCGATGTTCACGTGTTCAGGTTCTTTAGAACCTGCTTTTCGTGCCATTGAAGGTTCAGTAGCAAACCTTTGAGTGAGTCGTAAGTGTAGACAACAAACGTTTGGAACGTTTCAGACTTAGGTTCAGAACGGTTTGGGGATCGTTCGGCCTTGCTCGAAATCAGTGGAAGGATGCCAGGAAATCCAGGACGTGGGAGAAGTGACGGGGTGTTGTCTGAGCACACGTGCAGGTGGGGAGTGAACGTGAATAGAGCGGAACGCTGCTCTCCTGGAACGCTGGCGGTCGAGCAGCACACAACTGCCCTTCTGTTCTGACGTGTGTGTGTGGCTTGTGTGAACAGTTTCAGATGACTGAAAAACCAGCGTTTCAGCTCCGTCTTCTTGGAGGAAAACACACTGAGCTGTGGTTTATTCAGAGGTGGCTCTTGGTGAAATTTTCTTTTTTGAACTTGGAAGCGTGGTTTCCGCCAAATGTTAACTGAATCGTTGCCGGTCCGTGTAGGTATGCGGAAGGTTATTAACAGCGACCATTGAATCTTACTAATCATGGAAGGGTGGTGGGAAGCACCGCTGTTTCCAGACCAACGTGTTACCCTGCTGTGGTCGATTCCATCAGGGGCAGCTTGAGGCTTTTTTAAGTGACTCTTGTCACCTTGTGTCAATTGTACTTCCTTTTTTGTGTGTAGGAAACCGTATGTTCTAGAAATAGCGACTGTCGGTAGAATTTATGGATAGTTCTGTTTTCAAAATTGACGAAATGACACACAGGGAAGGTGACGCCCATCTCAGCAGCAGTCTAGAACTCAGAGGAAAGGGGAACAGGAGGGGACCGGGCACATGCGCTCACGGGCATTGTGGGGTTGCTCATGACCCCATGCGTTGTTTCGTCTTTGTGGTCATAGAGTAAGGTCTTCCTTTCCATTGAGACCTGTTTATTTGATTTCACGTGCCCCACACGCCTCTGTCCGTAATCCTCCCGGCACCCGCGGCCACCCGGACATCCACACCCCCAGGCCTCGCAGATGGAACCGTGGGCTGCGGGGCCCCTGCCCGCTGCCCCTTCGAGGCTCTGGGCCCCCTGAACCTGTGTGTCCAGGGCTGCAAGAAGGAGGGCCCCGAGATCGGTGGCTCGGCGCCATTCTGAGCCTGGAGCCCCACGTAGACCCCATTGTGACAGGCCGCCTGGAGCTGTGGGCGCGGACACCGCTCCGTGCACTTGTCTGAGGCCCTGAGGATTGTGGGTGTCTGTTCTCTTTGTTTTGATGTTTTTGGATCTGGGCTGGGGACCCGCCTAGAGGTCAGAGCTCCTTGGGGCTCTCCCACTGTTGTGGATGTTCGCGAGGGCATTTCTTCTCCCCCGTGAGATACCCGTGTACAGAGCGCTCAGGGACAACGTGGGGTAAGAACAGGCTTCGTCCAGTTGTCGGGTGCAGTCTACCTCAGGCTTCCGCAGGCGGGACCCTGGTGGGACCCTGGGGTGCAGCGGTGAAGGGGAGGCCTGGTCTGGGGCAGGGGTGGGGCAGCCAGGACCACAGAGGAGCAGGGAGCGCTCGCCAAGCTGTCGTCAGACCTTCCCTCTCTCCCTGCAGGGATGGGGCCGGAATTCTGAATTCCTTTTTGTTTACCCATTGTTAAGGTGTGTTGTTAGTTGTGAGCATTTGGGGTTTTTTTATTAGAAGTTGTAGTTTGAGGTCACTGTAGACCCACAGGCAGTTGTGAGATGTAACAGCGGCCCTGTGTGCCCTTCACCCAGTTTGCCCGGCATCTTGCAAACCTGTAGGCCCGTCTCACGGCCTACTGGCCTGGCCGTTGTTCTGACATGGTCAGAACCTCCACCGGCAGGGGGCCCCTGACGCCCCTCCCCTTTCCACCCCCTTCCAGCGCGCCCCCCCACCCTTCTCACCGCCCCTCCCTGGGGTGTGGCGCACACAGGCGCTGTGTACGTGACCCCCACTCGCATCCGTCTCCACTGCTGCCGCATTGCTGGCTTTCTCCTCTTGGCTGCAGCGTCCCGCTGAGGAAGACAGCAGGGGCGTGTCTAACCTGGGTCCTGGCCAGGAAGGCTGCTCCCAGCCTTTGCGTCTGCTCAGTCCCTTTCTTCAGGACCCACGCGCAGGGGTGCAGCTGCTGGGCTGTGTGCGGAGCGTGTGGTTTTATTCAAAACCCGCTTCCTCTGGTGGCAGCGGTGCCTTCGTTCCACCGGCAGAGCAGGAGAGACCCTTCTCTGCACCGCTGCTGGCATGTGGCGTAGACGCCGTATGTCACCGCGGCCGCCAGACGGTGTGCGCCGTCAAGGGACGCGCTGTCCCGACTCGTGGGCTTCCTCAGTCAAGTGTGCGTGTCTCTGGCCCATTTTCCAGCTGGGTTGTTGTGTTGCGTTTAATCATCATCTATTTTTTAGGCACTGGAGCTTTGTGAACTGTGAGACCCGAAGGTATTTTCTCCTGCTCTATACCTTTGCAGAGTCTGGGAGAGCGGAAGCGGTTTCATTTTGTTGAATCAATCAGCTTTTATTTATCAGCCTTTTTCATGAATTCTACGTTAGGTGTCGAGTGTGCTGGCTCTGCGTGGTCCTGGATTCTGAAGGTTTGTGTCTTGATCTGGCAGTTTCGTAGTTGTACATCCTGTAGTGAAGGCCATGATCCACTCTGAGTTTGTGCACAGTGCGAGATTCTAGGGTGGGGGTCAGGTTTGTTGCCGCTCTGGCACCCGAGTCAGATGTCGGGGAACCTCTGTGCAGGTGTGTTCTGGGTTCCCCACCTGTTCCCTCGATCTGCACACATTTGGGCCTTTTTTCTTTACTTTTTTTTTATTAATTTTTTTTTTTTTACACATGTATTTGTTTTTGAGAGACAGAGCATGAGCGGGGGAGGGGCAGAGAGAAAGAAGGATACACGGAATCCGAAGGAGGCTCCGGGCTCCGAGCTGTCAGCACAGAGCCCCACACAGGGCTCGAACTCACAAGCCGTGAGATCATGACCTTAGCCGAAGTCAGACGCTTAACAAACTGAACCACCCAGGCGCCCGGGGCCTTTTCTTGATGTTAAGGTGAAACATTTTGTTTTTCACCTTTAAGTATGATGTGGTACCTGTAGTTTTTCTGTAGATACTTTTCCCAAATTGGGGGCAATTTCCCTTTCTTCCCATTCTTCTGTGAGTTTTTATCCTGAATGGATATTAAATTTTTCCAGATGCCTTATCTGTACTCATAGCACGTGGTTTTTTGTCTTTGGCCTGTCATTCGAATTCTGTTTCTCTTGTTGGCCAGTAACATTTCTTTCGCTGTTTTCAAGAGTGTTTTCCTTGTCTTGAATAAGAAGTTTGACGATGGAGTGTTTTAATGTGGATTCGGAGGTGTGTTCTCTTTGGATCCACTCAGCTTCTCGAATCTGGAAGTTTAATGTCTTGTCCAAATTTAGGATGTTTCCAGCCCTTGTTCTTTGAGGACTTTTCCAGTTCTGTCGTGTTTGTCCTCGTTCTGGGCTCCTGGACACCAGTACTGAATCACGTGTTCTTCAGGCTGCTCTTTCTTCCTTTTCAGTCTGTTTTCTCCCTGATGTGTAGACGGAGCCATTTCTCTTACGCATCAGGCTCTGTCCCTTTTGCCGTGACGTGGAGCCCGTCCAGTGCAGTTTTAAATTTTTATTTATCGGCGCGTTTTCGTTCTGACGCTGCCC